GATGGAGTTGGGAGCAAAAACTTCCCAAAAACCATAACCTAAAAATGAACTAAATCTGAAGTTATAAAACAAATCTCAAATGACCGCGTTAAGCGGGCATGGGGCGCTAAGCACGACTTTTCTATTTTACACATCAAACCGCCCTAAATCGCGCTAAGTGTGATATCCGCGCTAAGCGGGCTTCTAAACAATGATTCTCCAAAAATGTCAAAACACAAGCAGCACGCTACAAAGTACGCTGAGCGTACTTGCGCTTAGCGACCTTCTGCATGCTAAGCGGGTTCTCCTGGACAAAACTTCTCAAAACTGGTCTTTTATTCCGAAAACGCGCATCCGGAGCCATGCCTTCGACACCTTATTCCGTGATTCTACAAAATGAAACAATTACCTATAAAATGAATGGAAAAACATCAAATGGTAAACTATATACACAAAAACACAAATAAACACAAACTAAACGTATTTACACAAAATTCGGGTTTATTCAACTGATATTAACAACCAAAAGTCGATAAATGCAATAAGAAGTATATACAAAAATATATACAATCTGCACTTATCATATACCCTTTGTCCAGAACTTTGATTCCTGCTACTAAGGTTTAAAATCTTGAGAACATGGTTTCAATAGTTTCATCTTCATCCATCTTGAATGCTTCATACTTCTGAATTAAAGCTAATGCTTTAGTTTCCTTTACTTGAGTGTTTCCTTCATGAGTCATTTTTAATGAATCAAAAATCTCCTTAGTTGTATTTCTGTTGGTGATTTTCTCATATTCATTATATGAAATAACACTGAGAAGAATGGTTCTGGCTTTGTAGTGATTCTTGCTTTGTCATTTCTGATCTTCACTCATTTGAGTCCTAGGAATATGAATACCTTCTTCAGATACATGTTCCCTATAACTATCTATAACTAGATTCCAAAGATCTGCATCATGACCTAGAAAGAAACTTTCTAGTCAGTCTTTCTAGTACTCAAATCTTTCAACATAAAGATTGAAGGCTTAGTAAAGCAATTATCTTTTTCATTATTGTTTGCAGGCGCAACCATAATACGTTTTTCTTGACTGGATCTCTCGACACGGTTAAGTGTTTTATTTACAAATCAATAAAGAGTCAGAGCTCTGATGCCAATTGAAGGGTGAGAAAAAAACAAGAAAGAGGGGGGGGGGGGGGGGGGGTGAATTGGGTTTTCTAAACAAGGTTTTATGAAAAATAATTTGCAAACAAACTTGAAAGAATATGGATAAAGAAAGACAATAAAGGACACTTTGGATTATCTAGGTACACCTCTAACTAGGTTACTCATGTCCATCCTCCCCAGGTGATTTCGCCTTCAACAAGGACTTAAGCCACTAATCTTAAAAAATTACAGATGCACGGGCTACCCGTCGATGACTAACATCAACCGTCTAAGAGTCTACCTGACACCGTAGCCCTCTCAAGTCTCAGACTACAACCTAGTAACTTGAGGAAATAATAAATTCTTAACAGAATTACAATAAACTATGTTTACAATATTTTCTTCTAAATAAGAAAATTAACACAACTATGAAGAACAAAGTCTCTAATACAAATAATGAGCAACAAGTCTTTGTATTAAGAACTCTAAGATTAACACACAAATAATGAGAAATAACTCTTTGTGCTTAACCTTTAATATCTTAACACAAAAACGAACCGAAACTCTTGTATTCTTGATATTTCTCTAGAAGAATATTTATATATGTATATGAATAATGATTCTTCTTTTCTCTTGGTGTTTCATAGTATTTCAGAAATTTGAATCAAGAGTGATAATGGTTGATAGTTTGTTGATCTTTAAATGCTGATGAAGTCTTTTTATATAGACTTGAGAAATAAGACCGTTGGTAGTACGAAGATGTCACTTTCCTTTGCTAGCTAGTGTAACTGTAGTATTTCATCGTGGAAGATAACATAGTACAATATGTAAGCAAGTAATGGAATTTTTTAAACATATTGATTGTACTATAAAATTTATTGTTAAGTTTCTTAGACTTTATCTTATGATGATTTAATTCTGCTTGAATTAGTAAGCTTGGAAGATAACTCTTGATCTTATATTTATCTTCTTTTCTTCTTACTAGATTGTTTCTTATCTGAGGAGTGAATAATGATCCAGAAGATTCTTTTTTGTTAAATAATCAGAGTCTTTCAGATGGTTGAATATTGTCTTCAGATATATAAGCAACAACTTATCTAATGAGAAATGTCTTCTTGAGAGTGAAAGTTTTTAGGATCTTGACTTCTTGATCTTGTCTCTTGAATTCTTAATAATAAGCCTTTCTAAGTTGCATATCTGATGTCTGATTTCTGAAGCAATAACATATATCAGTACATTTGATTTTTCATGTTAAGTTCCTCCTTTCTGATTCTGACCTTGTATTGATTCTTTGATAATCAGCTTTTCTAAGTTGTATATCTGTTGTCTGATTTCTGAAGCAACAACTTATATCAGTACATTTGATTTGTCGTTAAGTATCTTCATTTTGATCTCTTGATCTTTGTATTGATTCCCTTTCTGATGAACATTCAACATTTCTTAGAACTGCTTATGTTTCTTTAGAAGTGGTCACGATAATTCTTCTGTTGAGTGCATTGGTCTTTCTGATGATATTTATCTTCTAATGAATATTACTTTTGTTGAGTAGATTAGCTTGAGAAGATATCATCCTTTGATCTTGTTTTCTAATGGACTTTGAAATGTTGATTAGATGTGAGTCCACAAGATCTTTCTTCCCTTTCTTATGATGGATTACTTCTGATGTTGAATGAAGGTGCGTATACCATGAAGTCTCTGAGTCTTCAGAATCTTGACTTTGTCATCAGAACTGTGAGCAACAACTCTTCTGATGAGAAAATCATGATTTCTGATCTTAGAGTAGAAACTTTCTTCACTGTGTTCAAAATCTTGACTTCGTCTTTAGAATCCAAGCAACAACTCTTCTAATGAACAAATCTTGACTTCTGATCTTCAGCGTTGTAAGCTTGTTTCTTGTGTAGTCTTGATTTTTGATCTTAAAGCAGCAACTTATCATAAACTCTTTCTTCTTGGAAACTCATTGAGATTCTTTTCTTGTCGAACATTCAGCATTCTATAGAACTACTTATGTTTCATAAAAAATAAAAATCAATGCTTCTTGTTTTGAGTGGTAATGTGATTGTGATGATATCTTGATTAAGACTATCCAGAATTCTAATCATGTATCTGCACACTCAATGAAACCATTAGAACTAAAATTATTCTTCATAAAATATATGCTTGTTATCATTAAACCTCAGAGATTTAAACATAGATCCAAATCTTGTTCTTACAAATTTGTTATCTATAAGTATGTTTGATGATATATGCTATTGCACTAGAGTTGAACATGGAGTGTTGATAATTTTGCACGATGAAGTGATTATTGGTAAAGGGTCTAAAATATACGGTCTATATATTTTAAAAGTTTCAAATGTTGTTATTCATTCATCATTAAGTAGTGGATGATTTCATGACAAGAAAGAGCTATGTGATTTGAGGTCAAGGCGTTATGAATGCGTTGAGGCTGTTTCAGAATAATATAATGAATTTTGCAGAAAATAAGGGATAAAAATGCATGTGGCCGCTGAGTTGTTATTGAGTTTTTGGAGAAGGGCTGATGTCAAAACAACTGACTTGGTTGGTAAAGAATTACTTCAGTGGAAGAATTATAAAAATCAAGGGATAAACCTTTTAGAAACTATAACGGAGAAAACTCAGTTTAAGGTAGAGTTTCCTACTATGGATACTAGTAAAATTGAGGGAACGATTATAAAGATCTCTGATTATCACTTGACTCGTGATAAATTAAGTAGTGAAATTATAGCATCTCAAAGAGACAATTATAATAGTCTTGAGTGTTATGCTTTGAATGTGGTCAAAGGGTTGTACAAATACATAAACATGGACTTTTAAGGATGCGTTCAAAAGTAGGTGGAGTCAACGATGATTGAAAAACCATGCTTGTAGGCTTGTTAGATTACCTAGGCAGAAAAAGGTGACTGAAAACAAGTGGATGCAAGTGGAGAGATCAAGGTTTAAGGATATCTTGAACTTGATGAATATTATTGAATAATATTTCAATATGATAGAGAGCATCAAGGTGATTAATGGTTAAATTGACATCAACACAATTTCAAGTCAAGGTAAAGGTTATTGAAGTATGTCTTAAAACCTTTATTGATGAAGGGAAAGAAAAAATATTTCGAGATTGCCAAAAAATTAAGAAGCCGAAAAACAACAAGAATGTCCAATTTTGACGGTTCGCGGATTTTGAATTTGAGTGGTTCAGTTGGCAGATTTGTAACGTTAGAATATATATATATATATATATATATATATATATATATATATATATATATATATATATATATATATATATATATATATATATATATATATATATATATATATATATATATATATATATATATATATATATATATATATATATATATATATATATATATATATATATATATATATATATATATATATATATATATATATATATATATATATATATATATATATATATATATATATATATAGACAAGATTTTGAAAAATCTTTAAAATTATCTAACAGAATTGAGAAACACTTGTTTATATCTTGAATCTTGAGTTTGTGTGCTTACATTTTTCAAAATTGTAAAGGTAGAGATTAGAAGTGAAGTTAAAATTGCATCCATTAATAACTTAATCGAAGTGTGTTACAAGAATAAAAACTTAAAAGCCTCGTCGTCCTTGTTCTTCAAAAGAAAGACCCAAAAACAAGAACAGAATCAAAAACTTGGGCCATTTTGGAGAGGGCTGGCTCTATCTCTCTCTTTCTCTCTATGCTATCTATTATTTGTGTGTATACATTTTTTTCTTACAAAAGATATTGTTATTTTTTTTATACACCAACAAATTCCTATAGCTAAAAGAAACAAAACTAGCAACAATGTTTGTAGTTAGAATTGTGAAATGCAACGTCTATAACAACCATTAATGCGTTGTTTCTTTTGTTGCTTAGTTTCTTGTTTCCAAACTTGACCAATATCTTGAGCAATTTTCATAGCATCATATGATGAGCCTGAGAGCCCTCTCTTTGTAAACCCAACTGCATAAAGTCCAACATTTCCTTTCCAACCATTTGGAAATGGAGACTTTGGAAATCCATTCTTTGAGAAAAACTCACCTTCCTACACACAAAAATTAACCAAAAAATGATTAGTTCATTGCTTCACCAAGAAAAAAAAAACTAATTCTATTAAGAATTAGTAATATTTTTATCTGATAGGTTAATCTTTGATTCTTTAACTCCAAAATATTTTATTTTAATTCTTTAAAATGTTAATTTTTTCATCTAATTAACGATAAAAAAATTCAAAACTTAATTGTTAAATTTATCACTAATTAGATAAAAAAAATTATTAATTTAATACATTTTGAGGAGTTAATTAATCAAAATGACCAAAATAAACTCCGAGATTACGACAAAAAGAAGTATTAAAAACATCCAATTCTAGTTTTGTCACCTTAAGCCAAGAAGGAACATTGCTCCTATAACCAGTAGCAAGAACAACAGCATCAACTTGAATCTTTTTACCATTAACAAGCTCAACAAAACCATGACTAAAACTCTTAATTCCAGGAACTACTTTTATATCCCCAGATCTAATTTTCCCCAAGGTACCAATATCCAAAACAGGTGTTTTACCCCTTGTATTCTTGAGCTCCAAAGGACCCTCCAATGGCCTCTTAATCCCATACTTTTCTATATTACCAAAAACCAACCAAGCCATCATCAACAAAATCTTGTCAACAAACCAAATAGGTAACCATTTCATCATCATAACTGCCAATTCAAATGTCGATCTCCCCAACATTTCTCTAGGTAACACATGAACCTATTCAACCATAAAAAAAGAAGATGAATTAGTTTGAGTAGAATCAAAAGTAATAAATCATTTTATAATTTGTTTAGCAGCGCAGCGCAACTTACGGAGCTACGAAGAACAATAGAGGGTGAAGCATTATAATTGCAAAGATCAAGTGCGAGTTCCATTCCAGAATTACCACAACCAACAACCAAAACTTTCTTCCCTTGAAAACCTTGACCGGATTTATAATCACAGGCATGAATAACTTGGCCATTGAATTCACGCAAGCCTTGAATATCAGGCACCACACGCTCTGCATTTTCGCCAGTAGCAACAACAAGCCACCTACAAATATACTCAACTTGATTTTGATTTGAAACAGTTATAGTTTTAACTCTCCATAATCCAGTAGTGTCGTCGTATTGAGCAGACAAAACAGACACGTTGAAGCGCGGGTTGATTTGGAAGTGTTTAGTGTATGATTGGAGGTAGTTTATGAACTGTTTCTTGGTTGGATATTCAGGGAAGTCATGGGGGAATGGGAAGTTAGGTAGTTGACAGAATTGTTTAGGGAGGTGAAGTTTGAGTCTGTCATAGGTTCTGTTTTGCCATAGGGAAGCTATGCAGTTTGATCTTTCGAGTATCATGAAGGGTACTCCTTGTTGTTTAAGACACGCTGCTGTTGCTAAACCTGATGGTCCTGCTCCTATGATTATAGGACCATTAACCCAAATGCAACGAGGTGAGATTGAGTCTTGTTCGTGATCGTGATCGTGATCGACTAGGCGAAACAAGTTCTCCATTCAGAGTTTGGATGAACAAGGTATGGAAGTTGAGAGAGAGAATTGAGTTTATGAGTTTGGAATGAATGGTGAGAGAGATGAGGTAGAGGGGGGTCTTAAATAGGGGGTTTGGTGTGTCATGAAGTGGAGAGTTAATGTGCTTTTTCTCTTATTATGTTTTAAAATAACTTTGTATTAATTCATCAGACCAACTCATTCAAATGGACTAATTCTATTATCTATTAATAAGCCTTATTTAGAGTCTCATTAAAATTCTATATTTTCAACTAATTCCATACAAAATTGTTTACACCTGGTACATTTTGAGAACAACACATTTTCAGATCTTAAAATCCCAAACTCTCAAACCTCACCAAATTCTAGGGTTTCATATTTTCTTTCTTCTTAGTAAAATTGCTTTTCTTTTTCATAAATTAATATATTTTTATTATTATTATTATTATTATTATTATTTTTATTATTATTATTATTATTGTATTGTTATTGTTATTGTTATTGTTGTTGTTATTATTGTTATTATTATTATTATTGTTATTATTATTATCTCACATATTAAAAAAATTAAGGTATAATTCTTGGATGCGTCATATTTTTTTCTTAAAAAAATAAAAAATTTATTGCGTTATTTTTTAATGAAAACCGAGAAGTAAGCTAGTTTTGTGTATATGTTTTGAATCCCAGTAACTTGAGATTCTGTTTTTATGTTATTAAAAGTATCACCTTCCTGATTATTTTATTTTTAATCTAACATTTATTCAATCAGTTTTTATGAAAATCAATGGATAAAGTAATTAAGTGTACATGCTACAATTTCCAACACTTTTAGATTATATTTTTATTTTATTAAAAGTATCGTCTTCCTGAATATTTATTTTTAATCTAAAAATACACCACTTTTTACCTACTTTTTGTTTTTCAACCGAGGTGACTTTTGTTTCTTCGATATATATAGTTTTTGTTTGTACCATTCAATTTCACTTTTCTAATCAACACAAACAGAACCCTAATGAAGAGCCCTTAACAAGAGAGCCACCAAGAGAGTCCTAAACACAAGAGCAATAAACACATATCATCTTTAATATGAAGAATATATGTGTTTAGGGCTTTCGTTTCTTTTTTAGAGATCCAAATCATCTTCTTTCACTTCTTCTTTAGAGATCTGGTATGTTAAACATCATTACTCATATTATTGATGTTGAGATCCAAAATCGTAGAGGTTTTATCTTGTTGTTGTTGATGTTTAAACATATTTATGTTATAGATTTTATCTTGTTGTTGATGTTGTTTAAACAAATTTATGTTATAGGTTTTATCTTGTTGTTAATTTTGTTGTTGTTGAGATCCTAAAGGTTTTTTGTTTGTTGTTGTTGAGACTCGCTGTTGATGTTGTTGATGTTATTGTTGTTGTTGTTGTTTAGTTGTTCTACTATCCAAAGTTATGAAAAATATATATGTTGTAATTTAATTGTTGGTATTTAGTATGAGTTTTAGATTGTTATTGATATTGAGTTTATGTTTTTTTTGCGATTCTTTGTGCAACTCTCATCTTTTTTAGTCGAGTTGAGTTTATTATATCTAGTATCAATTGTTTGTTTCACTAACCACTCTTTGAACATATAATCTATTAAATTGATTTTGGAAATAATCATATGAAAAATTATGTTGTACTAGAAACATATCTTACACTGATTAATGATTTTCTAACATTTTGCAACTCGTCATTTATCTCATGCTCTTTTATGGTTAAAATCTCTCCAATACTTCTATTTGTTGTTCAACTTTCTTCTTTATTTGTTCACTTTTCAAAGTATCAAATTTATGCTTTCAATAATGAATATGTATAAAAGGAAGTGTTAAATGAAGAACTTGAAACATTGAAGAGATTTTAGTCATGAAAGAATGTGAGATGAATGATAAGTTACAAGATATTTCAAAGTCGGTTTTTTCACTACGATTAGATTGAATTAAATTTATTGGTTTTTTTTTAAATAAAACTAATGAACGAGTAAGACTTATCTTTAATATGACTAAACCTCTTACAATAAGTGAACCAAAGTCATCCTCCACCACGAAGTCCTCAACCATCCTCATGACCAAAACCTCGTCCTCCATGAATTAAAAAAATAAAACCAAGCAGAATACTCTACCATTTTGGGGTGCACTAACCCTTGTTTCTTATGGACTAGGTAGGCATATGAGGCAACTAATTAAATGATTTATTGATGGAATCTTAGAAAGTAAGAACATGACTCCAACGGACTTGTAATTAACATGAAATCCATGAAGGACATAAGTCATACATACATTATCTAGTTTATTAATCTCGTTCTTTGTATCATCATTAGCAATCAAAAGCTTAAACTCGTCGTAAATGATTGATCTCGATTAGCATAAGATATGATGTTGTCCTCTGTCATCAGAAGGTTGACCAAATTATTAATAACTTCATATAGACTTTAAATATCATTACTGTAGCAGTAGACATATTGAGACTAAGCCATTGGATTGACTTTACTCGCACAGATCAAATAAAAATTGTCACCGCGCTTTACTGTTTCTAAAGGAATGGGAAAAGAGTGAATAACCCAAAAAAGAGGGGGAGAGAATCTAAGTTCGGGGGTTTTATGCAAAGGGAAAGTATTAGCACCCTAAACATCTATTGTACTCCACAGGAACCTCTTTGTAAATTTGTGCATTTTGGCTATAAATGTTGTATAAAAAAATAAATGGTAGAGATGAGAAGATAAGTATTTTTTACAGTTTTTGCATCCGCCGCGGTTGTGAACCTTTAGTGCCTACGTACCACCTTCCATGTAATAGGGGATCAGGGTACTCGTAATTCACCTTTAAAAAAATTTAAAACACAAATGTGTTGGTTAATTTTAAGAGACGAGACATCATCGTCTTATCCGAGTGAAAGAACATACTTACTACCCACGATTATGAGAAAAGAGAATTTGCATCATCACAAAGTGGAGGATATAGCTTGGATTTTAAAATCAACAAAGCCTTACTCAACACCCAAGTGGAAAATATCTCACTTCACTACATATTATAGAAGTATAGTAGCTCGCATCACTACAAGGATTGACAAGAGTCTAATCTTTTGTGAAAAGTTTAAGTAAAAAACCAAAGTAGAAAAATAGTTTAATGAGATTGATTGAATTTTAGTCTTCTCACAAAAAATGTCAAAGTATTATTAAGTTATTTAAAGTTTGATTAAGAAAATATTTTTGAAAATGCATGGACCTAAGTCCAAGTTTATTGTGAAAGCGGTTCAAGTTTAGAAATACTAGAATAGTTTTGAAAAGGAAGGAGAGGATTTTTGAAATTAAAGAAGATGGAAGGAGATGAAGGGACTATCCTAAATCATAAGGTAAAAGCTAAGGAAAAGAACTGTCTAACCAATAAGAAGTCAACACTTGACATAATGAGTCAATGTAGAATTTCTATCATTTGGATTGAAACCAAACAAGCAAATATGTTAAACCTCTTAATAACACCAAACTTCAAATGCATTAAGTCTTCATAAAAATTGGACAGAGTAACAGTTGTATACAGATGAATTCTCAATCACAGACAAAGCATATAATCAGAATAACCTGCACACAAAGAAAAAACAACCCAATATCTCGGGGTAAACCCCAAGAACTCCAGACAAAATAACAATAGAAGTCACAAGGTCCCAAGGATAGTCAAGGTCTCTACTCCTAAGTCTAAGAAGTCCATAAATCCAAAATACCAAGGATAATAACCAAATAGTCCAATCAACCTTAAAGTTTTTATTGTTCAAGTTAGTTATTAAGTATGAGTTACATCTCCTTTTCCAATGCCTTTTGATCTCTCTCAATTTGTTGGTCCTTTGACTCAAGTATGAGCTGCATCTGCTTCTTTTCTTTGGTCAGATTGAGGAGGTCGAGTTCTAGTTCTTCTTTTTCCTTATGAGCTTGCTTTAGGGTATTCTTTAGATCGTCGATTTCTTCCAGGGACATAGGCGTGACCTCTGGGACCTCTGACTTGTACTCTGGATCTATATCAAATGGAAGCTTGATAATTTGTACCCTATCTCGGACCCATCTAGTGTAGGGTTCTCTTGCTATGGCATTCTTTCTTTCGGCTTTCCTCTTATTAACCTTATTCCAAGCCCGAATAACTTTGTTGAGAAACCCTTGGTCCTTTATACCCATGTCGTGGATGATTAATGGTTGGAGATGTTCGTCCAAAGGTCTATCTTCTAAAGGATAATCTAACTGTTGTAGGGCCAAAGTAGGGTTGTAATTAATACAGCCTCGAGATCTGATCAACAGAACATTAGGAAAGTCCCCGCAGCTAATAGTGATGTCACCAATATCCAGCTTCCTTGTATACCATAATACTGAGTTTACAGTGAGAGACCTTAATTACTGAGGCCACTCGCATTTGGTCAAGTTTGGAATCATATAGTCTTCTTTGTAAAGGTGGGTGACAAACCAGGTATACAGAAGTGGAATGCAACAATTTAGAGTTCCTTTTCTCTTTTCATACATTGTATGCAAGGTGTAATAAATATCAGCAAGCAGAGCGGGAGTTGGATCCATATTAAATACTTTCTCACCCCAAAAAATGCTAATGGCTGCATGGTCAATATAGTCCACAATCTGTGGAAATAAAATTACACCAAACACGAGAAATCCTAAACAATCGACACAAGGCTCCTATTCTTTATAATTAGAAATTTCGAGTGCATTGGATTCTAGGTATATTCTTTTGATTCCTTGTATTGGGCCTTCTCTTTGGTAATTTTGAACTAACTTAGAATAAGGGATCCCTAAGCCCTTTGCTAAGACTTTGACTTCAATAGTTTGCCCGATACCCACATAGGCCTTCTCTTTAGAAAGGTTCAGAATTCTATCAAATTCTTCCAGAGCCATTTCCCTTTTATGGCTTTGATTTCAGATATGGCTGGCTTGAGAGAATTGACGCAGACAAGTTGTTCCCTTTGGTATCCATTTTCAAAGATA